TTGTAGTTGTGGTTGTTGTAGTTGTGGTTGTTGTGGTGGTGGCTGTTGTGGCTATTGCGGTTGTTGTAATTGTCGTTGTGGTTGTTACTGTGATTATTGTTGTGGTTGTGATTGTTGCAGTTGTGATTGTTGTGGTTATTATTGTAGTGGTTGTTATTGTTATGATCGTTATTGTGGTAGTTGTTCTTGTTGTGATTGTTGTTACTGTTGTGGCTGTGGTGTGGTTGCTATTATTGTTGTTGTGATTGATTTGGGGTTTATATTTATTTATTTATTTATTTATTTATTTATTTATTTATTAACAATTTGAGCACACATACAGAGGTACAAAAAAAATACAGATAAGAGCAGCATGCCAAAGCCACTTATACTATGCATAGCATTACGGGCTGGCTTAAAATTAACTTAAGATTAACTAAGCAATGATGAAATCAGTGATAAAACATTAATGAAAACAGATTACTATAAAGCACAAGTGAGTATTACAAAGACAGGTCATATGGTTGCATGCATTGCTGTTCATTCAGTAGAATGGAGTATTCTGTTAGGTAGTGTATTTAAAAAAATAAAAAAGTTAGATTGGGTCCTAGGTTTAACATTTATGTGATATAATTGTGAGTAACATTTTGGATATACAATTTATAAGGTTCAGTTATTCAGTATTTTATTTGGTTTTTAGTGAGTAAGTGAACTTTGAGAAGAGACTTGAATTTATAAACAGGTAGTGTTTCTTTTATATTTACAGGTAATGAATTCCAGATTTTAGGGCCTTTTATGTGCATTGAGTTTTTGCATAGCGTGAGATGGACACGAGGAACATCAAAGAGTGATCTGTGCCTTGTTATGGTCATGTGTTCTGTTGAGGTTGGCAAGGAGATGTTTGAGGGGAGAGTTAATATCAGAGTTAAGTGTTCTATGTATGTAATAGGTGCAGTAATAAGTATGGATGTTTTGTATGGTGAGTAGGTTTAGTGTATTGAATATTGGTGGAGTGTGCTGCCTGTAGTGAGAATTTGTTATTCTAACTGCAGCCTTTTGTTGGGTAATTAGTGGTCTGAGATGGTTAATTGTTGTTGAGCCCCATGCACAAATTCCATAGGTGAGATAGGGGTAAATAAGAGAGTGATATAGGGCCAGGAGGGCTGACTGTGGAACATAGTACCGTACTTCGATAGTATGCCTACAGTCTTGGAAATTTTCTTAGAAATTTGTTGTATATGTGTATGAAATTTGAGTCTATTATCAAGGTGGATTCCTAAGAATTTCCCTCTGTTAGCTTTGTGATAGGTGATCCGTTTATCATTATGTTAAGAGGGACATCTGTAGCTCTGTTACCAAACTGAAATGAAGTAGGTTTTGTCAATGTTTAGTGTAAGTTTGTTATTCCTCATCCAGGTAGATATTTTCTGTAATTCGGTATTTACAGTATTGGCTAGCGTGACTGGGCTCGGGTGAGAGAAGACGTATGTAGTGTCATCTGCAAATAGTGTGGGTTTGAGTAATTGCCGAAGCATTTGGTAGGTCATTATGTATAGGAGAAAAGAAAGAGGGCCAAGGACACTTCCCGTGGGACACCAACTGTAATTGGTTGCGCAGAAGAGTTTGCCCCATTTGCGTACACATATTGGCTTCTGTTGCTGAGGTATGACTTGAGGTAGTTGAGGGAGTGCCCTCTAATACCATAGTGTGACAATTTTACGTGGAGCAAGTCATGGTCAACTGTATCAAAAGCTTTACGTAAGTTAATGAAGATCCCAGTGGGACTTCTTTTTTCTCTATTGCAGTGTATATATGTTCTAGCATGTGTATAATAGCATCATTAGTATTTTTATTAGGCCTGAATCCAAATTGGCAGGGTTTGAGTATGTTTTGGGAGATAAGGTAGGAGTAGATTCGTTTATGAATTAATTTTTCGAAGATTTTTGAGAGGGTGTAAGTTGGATATTGGCCTATAGTTATTCAACTCTGTTTGGTCTCCTCCTTTGTGGATCGGGGTGACCCTTGCTATTTTGAGTACTGTAGGGAAGGTGGAGGATTCAATGGATTTGTTAAAGAGTGTTGCAATGATTGGTGATAGCACTTGTGACACTTTTTTTGTATATAAAGGGTGGTAAGGTATTTAAATCTCCTGCCTTGTTTTTCAGTGCGTTGATAATAAGGGAGACTTCGTATGGGTTAGTCGGAGCTAGGAACAGTGTGTTCGGGTAGTTGCCAGTGAGGTAGTCATTTGGTGGGGTATCTGAGCTTGGGATTTTATTGGCAAGGTTTTGTCCTATAGTGGAGAAGAAATCATTGAGTCTGTTTGCTGTTTCTGTTGGTGGGAGTTGGGGTTCATCTGATTTTGCTAATTTTATTTCGCTATTTCGTGATATCTTTTTTGTTCCCAGAATTTCTGATAGGGTTTTCCAGGTCTTTTTATATCACCTCGTAAGTTGGATAATCTGTTTCATAATCAATTTTTTTTGCCCTTTTTATCAGGCGGTTAGGATTGACGAGAAACGTTTTGTTTGGTCTGGTTTGTACCCTTCTGTACGTTTTTATTTTGGGTTTTTTTTGTAATGGCCACGATACTATTTTGTGATTTAAAAACTCTTGTTTTCACACAGCAGTGTCTGGTTCTTTTCCAGGAGGGTAGAAACATTGGTGGTATTTTTTTACACTAAATGTCTATGTTCTTTTTTTATTTTTTCGCGTATTCCCCCCGCCCGGGGTCTTTTCCAAGTAGGGGTGACCCGGCCTTGGCTCCCATCGGGGTGCTCGAGACTTAAGTCTCCCATGAGAGGAGGTAAAAGTACTCCCTCATTTTTGGGCCCAAATTCCCCGGGGCCTGCCCAATTCCCCGCCCTCAGGGGCTCGTAGGGAGAAACTACCCCTCTTTTAACCCATCATAAATGGGCCCCCGGGATTATACTGGGGGGGGTCGCATTTTTTGGGGCCCAAAACTACCAAACAAAAAATGCTCACAAACAAGGGGTTTTTTCGTATATATTTTTCATTGATGCAGCGTGTCTTAACCATTACATGCATTGAAAATATATAAAATTTATTTTTATTATTATTATTTTATTATTATTAACTATGATCTGTATACCTTGTACATGTAGTAAATAAAGAAATTTTAATATAATATTACGTATATGGCCGCCACAATATTCATAAAACTTTGTTGCAGTCATCCTAGCGATCCTCTTTTTTTACATTAAATTAAGAATTATGTAGGTACAAGTAACAACATTTACATACTTTAAACCATTGAAGTTACTTTGGTCTTGATTTTTTCCATAGGATTAAAAACGCTTCCTGGCTGCCCATTACGAGTTTTAAATTTATTCTAAGTTAAGGTGTTCCACATTTTTTGTTTTTTTTAAATTTTGCATAGAATTTCAGTAGATTTTTTAAACTGAACACAAGAGAGTCATAAAGATATTTTGACTGTTATGTTCTGTGTTGTCGCACAGTTTTTCAATAATTGTCTGTCTGTTTTTGCTATAATTTTCCAAGAACTGCTGACTAGCCCACTTTTTTGGTTATTCTGCTCGGGAATTTACATATAGTTACATGAAAGTAAATTTTTTTTAGGTATACACAAAAAAAAAATTAAATAAATTATCATACATACGCATATCCTGTGATGGGGGCACAAAGCATATGGATACACAAAAGGCCCAGGAACAGGCCCCAAAAAGGGTAACGTGTACATATGGGTTTTTATTTATTACATTTCACTTATTTTACAAGCAAATTTAGGAAATAGCTTAGTATATCTGGTATCTTATTTTTATTAATAAATATCTTTACATATCACATAGGTTATTATACTGTCCGAAGTGGACAAAATTTAAACCATAGTTTCAAGAGAGTGACCTAGCCTGTCCATAATTTTCATTTATTTGATCGTCATCTGGTGTCCCCAAACTGCCCCAAATACTTTTAAAACCAAAACCAAGCCCCGGCCACTACAACATATCGCTGTTTACATTGCAAGTTGCCCTTTCCCTAAACATACTTACTAGTTCATTTATCATATGGGTTATGATCTACTCAGGCTTCTAACTGCATTCCAAACAACATTTTCATTATTTCTTCTCTCCAAAAATTGTTCCTAAAGCTAGACACAGTTATACCAAAGTTATATTCACATTCTCCTTTTGGGTACTCTTCTTTCTAACATATCAACTTTTTCAGAAGGAGTAATCCAAAGTGTGAGGGGTCCATACAATTGTACATTTAAATTTCCTTTTTCCCAATTTTTTAGTATCTATACCCGGCTTCTCCAAAGAGCATGTTGTTGGAGTCTTATATGAGTCAAGAGCCTTCAATGATGACAAATAAAAAAATCTTTATTTACAACAAGTACATGTACAGGTATACAGGCCCCCACGAAAACAATGACATACACAAAAAAAAAGCCCCTTTTTATACTCCGCATGTCAGGGGAAAATTTGGTCATGTCCCAGGGGCGCTCACCATTTGACTAAAAACCCCGGTACCCATTTTTTTCTGATTGGGAAAAATAGTCAACAGGGGGAAAGAAACAAACCCCAATGTTTCTACCTGGGTTTGGGGAAACGAACCCCGGCCCCCCGGTGAAGCAAGTGTTAGCCACCAGGCCACCATCAGTAATGATGATAGTCAAGCTCAGTGTCATTAGGATTACAAACAATTCAGTTTGCAGTGTAGATACCCAGTTCAACAAGTTTATTATGGTTCTTAACTAGGGAGGTGGCAACAAGAGCAGATGCAGCCCTGCCAGAAGACTCCTGTTTAGATCCATCAGTGTATATAACTTGTGATAGCATATTACTACCAGCTAGGCGAGAAATTTCTTCTTGAGCAGTTGCTTTAACAAGTGATTTAAGGAAGGGATTACTAGCAATGAGCTTCTTGGGAGGGACTTGCAGGTATGTGATATTAAATGAACACATCTTCCATGGGGGGGTGAAATGCTCTTGTTGCCTACAGTGATACAGTTCATGCAGGTTATAAAACAATGCAAATGCACATTTTCACAATCCATTTAGATCTGTGTGTATTTACCTCTTGACACTTGGTAAGAGTCATTGTGACAGTGTCTGGTTCATTTCTTAACATTGTAATACCGAGTACAGTGTTAATCTCAACACTCCTATCACTGATACTAGAAATACCAAGCTCCTTCCTCATTAAGAACTTTTGTAGATTTGGAACACCCAAGGATAATTCTGAGAGCTTCATTTTGCATTAACTCCGAGGGTCGGAGAGAACTTTCTCTAGCTAATATCAACATGGGAGCAGCATAATCAATTAAGGACCTTACATAGGCTATGTACATCATTCTCACAATTCTCACATTAGCACCATAGTTGGGGTTGTAGCCAGCAACAGCTGTGTAGAGAACCCAGGATAACCCAAAAAGGTCAGATAAAGTGACTTATTTCCACTGGGGTCCTTTATAACCCTAATGATAATTGCACTATGTACCTGTACCCAATGGAAATAAGTCACTTAGTGTGAATTTTTTGCATTATCCAGGGTAATTATACATATACTGCTATGTATGATAATTTATGTAACTGTATTTATGTGTTCCTGTACCTGAATAATTTACTTACTAGTCAGAGGTAATACCACTTGAGCCATAAGTCACGAGCCACCGTTAAGCCATACTCACCAACTTTTACCGCTTCTGCTTTCAAAAAAAGTCCCTGTTCACCTTACAGTAAGTAGGTACCTGGGTGTTAGTTGACTGGTGTGGGTTGCATCCTGGGGGTGGTAGTATACCTTAGATGAGGCTGGGCTTTGAAATGAGCTGAGGTAAGATAACAGCCCTTAGCCTGTAAAATTTATGTGTAAAAAAAAAAAGTACAGTTGATCCTTGAACAACATGGGAGGGGGGGGGTAGGGGTGCCAACCCCCCGCATGGTCAAAAATCCTCATATAACTTTTGACTCACCAATAACTCAACTACAGTTGAACCCCCGTATTCACTGATTCAGTATCCAGCATTATTGTTATATTATGCATACTTTGATGGTAAATTATGCACTGTAGAGTAAAAATATTTCCATTGGCTTCCTTCTTTTTTCATTTATCTTTTTTTAACACTTTTTATGTGCTTTGTAATCTTAGCCACAGTGCGATGCATCCAATACTTCCATATATTGTCCCATGTTTTGGCTATATCACTGTTGATGTTTCATAAAATATCGAGCTAATTTATGCATCACATTATATTTAGACAGTACTGTATATGAAATATAAAATAAAATAAAATATTAACATTCGTACATTTTATAATTACAGTGGACCCCCGCATAACGATCACCTCCGAATGCGACCAATTATGTAAGTGTATTTATGTAAGTGCGTTTGTACGTGTATGTTTGGGGGTCTGAAATGGACTAATCTACTTCACAATATTCCTTATGGGAACAAATTCGGTCAGTACTGGCACCTGAACATACTTCTGGAGTGAAAAAATATCGTTAACCGGGGGTCCACTGTATATATTTTGCTTCATTCATTTGCACAGATTTTGCTAGTAAACTCAGTTCACACATTATAAATAATAATAAAAATTTATTTCTTTGCTGAGGTTACAATGTGTGTTTACATATTATAATTTAATTGGAGCAAAGAAAGCCACTATTGTCTCGAGGCATTTCGGTATGGCTGGAAACTTTAGGACGTGTTTCCTTAAGATACCTGCAGTTCCTGTTCACCTAGCAGTAAATAGCTACCTGAGTGTTAGCCAACTAGTGTGGGCAGCATCCTGGGGACAAAATTAACCTAATTTGCCATTAATGGTCTGCACTGATGTCAGCTAGGCCTGTATAAGTTGTATCATGTACTTGTAGCAATAAAGATTATTATTATTATTATTTTTCATGGAAAATCCATAAGAAAACAGTAAATTAATGAGATTAGTAAATTTACACCCTGTATATTGAGGGGTCAGCGTACTTTAATGATGATCACTGTATATCATGTTCCTTTTCTTTTAAGATTCAGTCTTACCTCCAACCATTATTACATGATTACCTTCTTATCTGCTTTTGGCTTCTCTTGAAGTTCAATTTCATTTTAACATTAAATTTTAATGTCTTTGGAAAAAAGCTCAATTTTTGCTTAGATTTATGTTACAGTGTTAAAGAAATTTTATCTAGTGTATCCTACATTTACATACTTTGCCTAATTGTTTTTGCATTTTTATACTGTTAACATTATTTCTAGCTTTAGACTGCCTGAAATGTTTTGCATAGCTATGGGGTTTTCCTTCATGATATTCTATACAGCCTCTCCTTACTTAACCCTTTGACTGTCGCAACCCCCAATCCTGAGGTGTCTCCTGGAGTCGCAAAATTTAAAAAAAAAAAAATTATTTTTTCTTATGAAATGATAGAGAATCTTTTCCCGATTGTAATGACACCAAAAAAAACGAAATTTAATGGAAAACTGACGGAATTATGCTCTCGCGAAGTTAGCGACCTCAGCGCTGTTTACAAATCGGCGATTTCGCCCACTTTGAGCCCTATTTTCGGCTAATTCCATTGTTCCAGTTGCCCAAACTCATAGCTATTTATTTAGAACTCCATGTTTTCTATCGATTGAGTACAAGAAACTGCCCATTTACCGATTTCAACTACCTAATAATGTGGTCAGAAATTTGCAATTTGGCCAATTTCACGAAAATTAAAAAATATGACAATTTCAAAATAAGGTCCAGAATGAAAAATGCAGACATTCCTGGCTCTAAAATAATATTTTCTTTGCTCATCACTCATGTCTCCAGGCCCCTCTGATATTACTCTTGCTTTCTATTTTGAATTTTTATTCGAACAAAAAATAGAAGACTTACTATTATGCAGACTACTGCAATACTGTAATAATTGTATAAATAACATCAACCCATTCATGACTGCATATTAGAATGGCTAGTTGGACATTTATTGGACAATGGCATCATTTGTTTACTTTTGAATATTGGCAAAAATCAAACATTTCCCCTACTTTGAGCTCCATTTCTAGGTTCTTTTTATAGTAAAATCAATCAAAATCACCTCTATTTCTATCATATGTTTTCCATTCTATCAAATGAGATCAAGAAAACGAGAATACAACCATAAATACTACACAAAAATAGACCACAAAGTCGGCATTTTAATTAAAAAAAACGGTCAGTTTTTTTTTTCTCATTATGCACTGCGTGCTCCAGGATTTTTTTTTATATGGTGCACACTGACCACACAGACCCATTCTCTCACATGTAGGCCTACCAGCTTTCTCCTGCTTGATTTAAAGCCGCTAGAATTTATGAGTATATATACGTCAAACACGGTACCTCGTAAGACGTATATATACGGCCGCGACAGTCAAAGGGTTAACGACGGAGTTCTGTTCCCAAGACCATGTCAGTAAAGGAATTTGTCGTTAAGTGAGGAGCTTACTATAATGGTAGTGGGTTTATGTCAACCATCTTTGATACTGTTTTAATGTCACCTTTGCACCATTTATAACATTTTTAGTATATTTTTAAATGCAGTAGTGTACTGTATGTATATTGTAATAAACAGAACATAGAAAATTAGCTCTAATATACTGTACATTATTTAGGTTTGTATACTGGTCAGTGAGTCCATCATAAGTCCGAGTTCTTGGTAAACGAGTACATCGCTAAGTATTCCTGGAGAAGGGTTTCGGGGTCAATGCCTCTTTGGCCTGATCAACCAGGCTGTTACTGTTGGCCGCGTGCAACCTGACGTACAAACCATAGCCCGGCTGGTGAGGTACTGACTTTACGTGCCTGTCCAGCGCCTTCTTGAAGACAGCCAGGGGTCTTTTGGTAATCCCCTTTATATATGCTGGGAGGCAGATAAACAGTCTTGGGGCCCTGACACTTATTGTGTTGTCCCTTATTGTGCTAGTGGGGCCCCTGCTTTTCATTGGGGGGATGTTGCATCCTCTGCTGAGTCTTATGCTTTTATAGGGGGTGATTTTTGTGTACAAGTTTGGTACTAATCTCTCCAGGATTTTCCAACTGTATATAATTACCTGGAGTTTACCTGGAGAGAGTTCCGGGGGTCAATGTCCCCGCGGCCCGGTCTGTGACCAGGCCTCCTGGTGGATCAGAGCCTGATCAACCAGGCTGTTACTGCTGGCTGCATGCAAACCAACGTACGAGCCACAGCCCGGCTGGTCAGGAACCGACTTTAGGTGCTTGTCCAGTGCCAGCTTGAAGACTGCCAGGGGTCTGTTGGTAATCCCCCTTATGTATGCTGGGAGGCAGTTGAACAGTCTCGGGCCCCTGACACTTATTGTATGGTCTCTTAACGTGCTAGTGACACCTCTGCTTTTCATTGGGGGATGTTGCATCGTCTGCCAAGTCTTTTGCTTTCGTAGTGAGTGATTTTCGTGTGCAAGTTCGGTACTAGTCCCTCTAGGATTTTCCAGGTGTATATAATCATGTATCTCTCCCGCCTGCATTCCAGGGAATACAGGTTTAGGAACCTCAAGCGCTCCCAGTAATTGAGGTGTTTTATCTCCGTTATGCGCGCTGTGAAGGTTCTCTGTACATTTTCTAGGTCAGCAATTTCACCTGCCTTGAAAGGTGCAGTTAGTGTGCAGCAATATTCCAGCCTAGATAGAACAAGAGACCTGAAGAGTGTCTCATGGCTTGGCCTCCCTAGTTTTGAAGGTTTTCATTATCCATCCTGTCATTTTTCTAGCAGATGCGATTGATACAATGTTATGGTCCTTGAAGGTGAGATCCTCCGACATGATCACTCCCAGGTCTTTGACGTTGGTGTTTCGCTCTATTTTGTGGCCAGAATTGTTTTGTACTCTGATGAAGATTTAATTTCCTCATGTTTACCATATCTGAGTAATTGAAATTTCCCATCGTTGAACTTCATATGTTTTCTGCAGCCCACTGAAAGATTTGGTTGATGTCCGCCTGGAGCCTTGCAGTGTCTGCAATGGAAGACACTGTCATGCAGATTCGGGTGTCATCTGCAAAGGAAGACATGGTGCTGTGGCTGACATCCTTGTCTATGTCGGATATGAGGATGAGGAACAAGATGGGAGCGAGTACTGTGCCTTGTGGAACAGAGCTTTTCACCGTAGCTGCTCGGACTTTACTCTGTTGACGACTACTCTGTGTTCTGTTAGTGAGGAAATTATAGATCCATCGACCGACTTTTCCTGTTATTCCTTTAGCACGCATTTTGTGCGCTATTACTCTATGGTCACACTTGTCAAAGGTTTTTTGAAAGTCTGAATAATTACACTGCATTTTTTTGTCTTCTAGTGCACTGGGCCCTTGTGTGACCATTTAGACAGCAGGGGGCCTGTTTAAACCATGTTGCCCGGGGTTGTAATTTTTTTGGGTTTTCGAGGGTGTACTTCTTCTAGGACCTTTAAAAGTTTTTTTGTTGGTGTTGGATGCTGTAGTTCTTTGCTGTTTTTACCCCCCCCTTTGTGGGGGGCTTGGGTTTTTAAAAAATGGGGGGACGACCCCCGGTAGCCCCTCCAAATAAAAAGGCTGTGATAGGGGCTTTTTGCTTTTCTTGTGAACCGGATTCCCCCATATTTGGGCCCGGGGGGCAAGTGCAGGCATGTATTTTATCGCCTTTCAATCTTTTGGGGTCGGGATAACTGGGATGGGCTTTTTTAAACCCAAAATTCGGGGCTTCTTAAAAAAAAATTCATTTTGATCTTTGACTCTTTTTTGGGTTAGGGGCTTGCAAAAAAACGAGTCATATTGGATTGGTATCACTCATTTCCTTGCTGCATCTTGTAGACCCCTTTGTTTTAAATAGGGCCCAAACTGGACGTTGTTTTCGACTTGATTTGGGATGGGAGAAAAAAATACTTTTGGGTTTTCTTTCAATTTCATTTTTGGCTTTTTTGTTCTTCCCGCGTCCTGACTCCCAAAGTTTTCCTTTTGCTTAATCGATCTTCTATTTCCTGCCCGTGTCTCCCCACGCATTTTTAGATATTTACCTCTTTTAGCCCCTTTATTCTTTTCCGCGCCTGTAAAGGGAGCGCCTGTCTTTTTCTATTTTACATCTACTCCTCCTTTTTCTTAGAGGAATAAGCCTTGTGCATACATCGAGTGCCACCAAGTTAATCTGTTCTAGGCATAAGTTGGGGTCTGTGTTGCTTAGTATATCTTCCCAGCTTATATCGGTTAGGACTTGGTTACTTGGTCCCACTTTATGTTTTTGTTATTGAAGTTGAATTTGGTGAATGCTCCCTCGTGACTAATCTCATTATGTCGGTCTGGGCTCCACGCATACATGTCTGAACCTCAATTATGTTGTGATCTGAGTATATTGTTTTTGATATGGTGACATTTCTTATCAGATCATCATTGTTAGTGAAGATGAGGTCTAGTGTATTCTCCAGTCTAGTAGGCTCTATTATTTGCTGGTTTAAATTGAATTTTGTGCAGAGATTTAAAAGCTCGTGTGAGTGTGAGTTTTCATCAGAGCTGCCTCCTGGTGTTATTACTGCAACAATATTATTTGCTATATTCCTCCATTTTAGGTGCCTTAAGTTGAAATCCCCCAGGAGCAAGATGTTGGGTGCAGGAGCTGGAAGATTTTCCAGACAGTGGTCAATTTTTAACAGCTGTTCCTGGAATTGCTTGGATGTTGCATCCGGAGGCTTGTAGACTACCACAATGACTAGGTTTTGGTTCTCGACCTTTACTGCTAAAACTTCCACTACATCATTTGAGGCATTAAGCAGTTCTGTGCAAACAAGTGACTCTGCAATGTACAGGAAACCCCCCCCCCCCCCCCCCATCCCTTTTGCCTGTTCACTCTGTCACATCTGTATCTTTCCTGCCTGCATTCTAGGGAGTACAGACTGAGGAACTTCAAGCATTCCCAGTAATTGAGATGTTTTATCGCACTAACGTGTGCCATGAAGGTTCTCTCTACATTTTCTAGGTCAGCAATTTCACCTGCCTTGAAAGGCGCTGTTAGTGTGCAGCAGTATTCCAGCCTAGATAGTTTTGAAGGTTCTCATTATCCATCTTGTCATTTTTCTAGCAGATGCAACTGATACAATGTTGTGGTCTTTGAAAGTGAGATCCTCTGACCTTATCACTCCCAGGTCTTTTACATTAGTTTCTCGTTCTATTGTGTGGTTAGAATTTGTTTTATATTCTGATATAGTTTTAATTTCCTCATGTTTTCCATATCAGAGTAATTGAAATTTCTCATCATTAAACTTCATGTTGTTGTCTGTGGCCCATATAAAGATTTGCTTGATGTCTGCCTGGAGTCTTGCAGTGTCTTCAATGGAGGACACTGTCATGCAAATTCAGGTGTCATTTGCAAAGGAAGACACGGTGCTGTGGCTTACATCCCTGTCTATGTCAGATATGCGAATGAGGAACAGGATGGGAGTGAGTATTGTGCCTTGTGGAACAGAGCTTTTCACAGTAGCCACCTCAAACTTTACTCTGTTTACTGCTACTCTTTGTGAGGAGAGGCTGTATAAGCATCTAATGTGTGTTTGTATGTATCTTCCTTGTTATGTAGTAAAATGCTGTAGAGTGGGTGCTTAATCAATGGGGTGCAGTACACATTAGCAAATGCAACATGTGCCATTACTAACAGTATGATAACTTGGTAGTTTTTGGTATTGCATCCCTCATCAGTAAATTCATACAATATTTTATAAGGAAATTTCACAATTCTTACAATACATAGAACTTCAGGATCTTAGGGCATAAACAAGCTTTATATAATTTTTGTATTTGGAACCAACTGTTGTACTGTATTTCAAATTAATCACCACATGCAACAAAAAGTGCTGTATGAACCCATTTGTAATTCATCCAGTGTCATATACTTGTGTGTCGGTATTTATGTTTAGCCTTGTCTTTTTCAGTGAACAATGAATAACAACACAGAACTGATTAATCAGTATAAAGAGACATTTCCAGCCTTTGGATCCTATATGGAATGCATGTCACGAACTTTCTTAACAGGACTGGCATCATTTAGCTTAGGTAAATTTCTTTAAAATATAATTACAGTGTGGGTAGTTGATTTTGGATTAAATAAGGAACCATTTAAGCAATGTAACAGTAATTCTTTTATAAAACTGAAGTACAGTAATAATTCCATCTCATTTTTTTACTATATAAATTACAAATGATAACTGTACCTTAGGTAATCTACTATATATTATATAGTTTTACTATATATATATTTTTCCTTTTTCTTTTTTTTAAACACATCAACCATCTCCCACTGAGGCAGGGTGAACCAAAAATGAAAGAAACACTTTCACCGTCATTCAACATTTTCACCATCATTCACACATAATCACTGTCTTTGCAGAGGCTCCCAGATATGACAATTTAGATATCACTCCAAACAGCCAATATCCCAAACTCTTCCTTTAAATTACAGGAATTATACTTCCCACCTCCAGGACTCAAGTCTGGCTAACCAGTTTCCCTGAATCCCTTCACAAAATATTACCCTGCTCACACTGACAGCTCGTCAAGTCCCAAAAATCATTCATTTTCATTCACTCCTATCTAACATGCTCACACATGCCTGAACCATGTCCAGGCCCCTTGCACACAAAACCTCTTTTATCCCCTCTTTCCATCCTTTTCTAGAATGACTCCTACCCCTCCTCCCCTCCACTACAGATATACGTATACACCCTCCAAGTCATCCTATTTTGCTCCATCCTCTGTAAATGACCAAACCACCTCAACAACCCCTCTTCAGCCCTCTGAATAATACTTTTTGTAACTCCACACCACCTCCTAATTTCCACACTGTGAATTCTCTGCATAATATTTACACCACACATTGCCCTTAGATACAGCATTTCCACTGCCTGCAGCATTCACAACCCATGCTTCACACCCACATAAGTGTTGGTACCTCTGTACTCTTGTGCATTCCCTTCTTTGCCTCCCAGGATAATGTTTTTTGTCTCCACAGATACCTCAATGCACCACTCACCTTTTTTCATTCATCAGTTGTATAGTTAACCTCGTCCTTCATAAATTCGTCAGCTCACAAGTCTACTCTCAAATATCTGAACAGATTCACTACTTCCATACTCCCTCTTTCCAGCATGATATCCAGCTTTTTACCTTACTCATTTGATACCCTCATCACCTTACTCTTATATATGTTCACTTTCAACTGCCTTCATTTATACACCCTCCCAAACTCATCCACTAACCTTTGCAACTTCTCTTTAGAATCTCTCAAAAGCACAATATCATCAGCAATGTGTAACTGTATCAACTCCCATTTTGTATTTGATTCCCCATAATTTAATCCCACCCCTATATTTAGTTAGTTTATATTTTTCATCTTGGGTGCAAACATGAATGTAATAAAAACAAAGCTTCCACTGATGATGAATTACTACATTATTGAGAACAAGTACAGTACAGCATGGATAGATACTGTGATGGACATATCATTATACTCTTGCATCCAGATATTCTCATTATTAATTGTATCCCCTTTTTTTTTCAGCATTTGGAGGCACTTATATTAGCCAGCACCTGTTGATTAAATACCTTCCATACAGTCGCAAGAATCACATCATAGTGTCCAGTGTGGTGGGTTGTTGTGCAGCTTACCAAGTAACAGCTGTTCGAGCCAGAGCTTGTCAGGCTGGCTGGATGGCAGCTGAGGACAAACACACTTTTCTTAATCCTATTTCTGACAGACCAAAACCATCTGAAGAGATTAATAATAAGTAAACCAAACAGACAAGAAGAAAGAAAATTGAGACATGCTTTATAAGAAACTCATTGAGACACTTTATAAGAAAATTATATAGACACTTTGTAAGAAAGTCATTCATATTGATATTGTCAACATTGCATTACTGGTACAGTACCTAAAGAGCATAGCTAAACATTGGTGGATTTTATGGTACAATGGCTTATTTTGGAATTATGAGATCAGGAATTTCTGTACAAAAATTAATATCAAGAAGTTCAATTTTTTCTTTGTTAAGCTCATGGAAAATTAAAAATAATGATGTATGTTTAACCACATTTGGAACTTGTTCTGTGTTTTACAAAAGCACAGTTTACAAATCTTCTAAATTCTACTCAGCAAGAGGTCTTATTAGTACATTTCATCCAAAAGTAATGATCATGAACTGTATAACATGGGAAATGCCATTTACCACGACAGCAGTGGATTTTCGGAAAAAGAGAAACGGCCAAGAAACAATCAAACCTATTGATGATGTTGAGGAAATAATTGATGATCGCTTTTTGGAAGATCCAGCATTTGAAATTTTAAGACATGACTCAAATATTTTAGGAGTTTTTGGTTCTGAATCTGTAACTATAAGAGAAGTGGGTGTAATAGTTCTTCAGCCATGGGTTAAATGGGGATATAACAAGAGAGTGGATACTTCAGGGCAGTTAATGCTGGAAGAAGCAGTTGCTTTAGTTTCTACACTGCCAGGCATTCACATTCTAGATAAGGTGATTATTATATATGATTAGCATTTGCAAGATTTTGTATCATAATTTGCAGTTTCCTTATAAAATACTATAACTTATCTTTCCATATCTTCCATTTCCCACCAAAGTAGAGTGAGCAACAGATTCGGCATCACTCATCGAGTTAGTTGTCTGTCTACAAGCACATGGACATTACAGTGAAAAAATTACAAACAAGTACTAAAACTGCAGTATTAACCCGTAAACGGTCCAAGCAGATCTACGTTCACATGTGTAGTGCTCCAAAAGTAGATCTATGTTTTTTTTACATATTTTCAAATATAACAAAAAAAAAGTAGATCAAAGTTTTTTTACACATTTTCAAATGTAAAAAAAAAGATCTACCTTGTTTACATACTTTCAAATGCTGAAAAAACGTATATATACGTTTGGACCATTTACAGGTTAAATAAATTCCTTGCAGTATGTGACAATATTTTGATGCTGTAAATAAATGAAGTAATCTACATGTAGAAGGCAGGAAGTATTGTGGTGCATCCTTCCAGTGGTTAGAATGCTGCTAGATATTAAGCTACACAGGGCTTCACTTAGATTTTAAGAAAACCTGTTCATTAAAACATGTGTGAGCATGTTAGATAGGAGTGAATGGAGATGAGTGATTTTTGGGACCTGATGAGCTGTTGAAATGTGAGCAGTACAGTGGACCCCCGACTTACGATATTAATTCATTCCAGAAGTCTGTTCGGGTGCCGTTACCGAACGAATTTGTTCCCATAAGGCATATTGTAAATTAGATTAGTCCGTTTCAGACCCCCAAAAATACACGTACAAAAGCACTTGCACAAATACACTTACATAATTGTTCGAGTTGGGAGCTGATCGTAAGGCGGGGTTCCACTGTATAATATTTTGTGAAGGGATTCAGGGAAACCGGTTACTGGACTTGAGTCCTGGAGGTGGATAGTACAATGCCTGCACTTTAAAGAAGGGTTTTGGGATATTGACTGTTTGGAGTGACATGTAAACTATTTAATATTGTGTATAATTGTATGATTTTTTTATTTCCCTTTTTTAACTTTGTCATTTTTTACTTATAGGAGATCGTGCCAGTAAGAAGCTTAGATAGAAAGGCAATATTTGGTTCCGGGACGTTAGATCGACTTGTTTCCAAGGCACGCTCTTTGAAAGGGGTGACTTGTGTATTTATCAGCATTGATATGTTGAAGAAATCGCAAATGGTGTATGTATAATAGTTGTACAACATAATTTGGGCATTGGGTACCTCCAACCTATGAGCTTGATTATGATTTTGGCCAAGGCATATTTTAACTCGGCTTAATATAAACATTTCTCTGTAATTAATTATTTGTTACTCCTAATATTTTCACATACTTTTATATCTACATATAATATTGAAGACAATATATTGTAAGCCAGACAGAAGTATGGTGTGGTCTGAACATGTTATATGAGTCACAGGTTGTATAGTTATTGTATCTCATGTCAGATAGAAACCATAGCTGGTAATTCACTATACTCTTCATACAGAGTTTCACAATCTGTTTTACAAATGGTTAATGCACTCATTTTTAATTTACATGTTTGGCTTTTATGTGAATGATTGGTCCAAACCTATATGCTGATGCAATTGATTCACAAGGAGCCTGTGGGCTTCTCATAGGTGCAGATGACACATACAAAGCATGTAATTAGTTACAAATGCATGGGCCATGGCTGTTGATTCACTTTCATTCTCTCAGCCCCTGCTGTGTACAGATGACTCATATTTCAGTTGAAACTTTGATTGGTAAAATCTTAAAAGGTGAGAGAGGGAAGAAGGTTAATAGTATTGAGATATCTTCCTAATATTGTTTAATTTTCTTCATATTTTATATCCATATGTACCGTTGACTCCATGGGGAAGTGGAAAAGAGTCCTTCCTCCATAAGTCGTACATGTCATAAGAGGCAGCTTAAATGCTGGGAGCAAGGGGCTAGTAATCCGTTCTCCTATATGCTGTGTATTACATTACTAAATGTAAAAAGAAGAAAAACTTTATAAAAGTTCTTTTTTGGGCCACCCTACCTCAGTGGGAGACAGGTAGTGTGCTAACAAAAACAAATGTACAGTTAAAACTCCAAATTTGTGAGGATTAGATTGATACCACTAAAGTTTGTCTATAATAAATTTTATTTCTGATTTGGTTTCTCTTTGGAGAGACATCTAAACTGTCGTATCTGAGTGCCTCTGCAAAGACAGTTATTATGTATGAATGATGGTGAAAGTGTTGAATGATGATGAAAGTTTTTTGTTTCATTTTGGGTTTTTCTTTCTACATGCATTTGGGTCACCCTACCTTGGTGGGAAATAGCTGACATGTTAAAAAAATAAAAAAAAATCACTCTAATTCATAAAAATCTTAGGAGATAAACCTTATGATGATGTTTCAATCTGTTCTGTTTATAATTAATTTCAGTTCCTAATTTTCAGAGAGCTTCAAGAACAATTTGGCATGAGGATTCTTGATCGCTATTCTGTAGTGTTGGGAATTTTTCGGCATCATGCACTCACCAAAGAAGCCAAATTACAAGTTGCATTAGCAGAATTACCGTATATCAGGTTTGTTCAGGATTTGTTTTCTTTAGCAAACATGCATCTTCCTTTGAAATATTTTTCTAGAGGGTAAACCACTTAAACTTCGGTTGGGTATAAAGGTATAATCACAAACTCATAGTTCATTGCCAATAAAATTTGTGCACACACATTGTCTATCATCAGCAAAGAAAATATAAAACTACTCTACACAATAACCTGCACATAGGAGAAAAAACTTGACAACATTTTGGTCTGACTCGGACCATGAACTAGTTACACATTAGCTAATGATCCAAGTTACACCGAAATGTTGTCATAAATTTCTTTGTACTATGTGTGGGTTATCTGTGTATTGTTCCAGTCATGGTAATGTGCCTTTTTGTTCTTTATAAGACCACTTGACTAATGTCCAGATCCCAGCCCCATTCTCTCTTGGTATGACCTAACTTTCATCTCGACTGATTTCTCTACCACCAAACTTACATCAGGCTGCTTATAGGCATCATTTTTTTTTTTTTCCTTGATGAAGCCTTACAATGAGTGAAATGTATAATAAAATCTTTCCCTGCTAAAAGTGTCTGAAATTACAACTTGTCAGCTTACACTGTTGTATACCCATCCTGCAGGAAGACTGCACACTCCTATCAGTAGCCTGGGAGATACATGAATGGTCTTGAATCTGGTTGTTAACTTCTGCTCAGAAGCTGCAGGATCCTGAGGTTTATCTGTTGAGAGAATATCAGGTTCTCTCTAAACTTCCTCAGGAAACAAAAGGCAGAAGGCAAAATGAATTAAGAGTTTGAGTTTCAACATTATTATTATCCTTAAAAACTTAACTGTCAAGTCTTTTAATAAGATGTTTATTGATTTGGGTGTGAATTATAGTGTTGAAATTAAAGTATCATGGGGGTCCAGCATTGGCAGGAAGAGTGGCAAAATTAGAGAGGTTGTAATCTTAGGAGGTTCATTAGATATGAATACAGAGGACACAGTATGAAAAGATTTAATTCCCATATAGCAGATAAGTACTGTATACATTCTCACTAGAAATTTTAAAAATAAAAGCTTGACCAGTAAAATTATATTTTTATAAAATGTATTTAATATAATAGTTTACTGTAAAAAAATAAGAAGAATTCAAGTACAGTGGACCCTTAACCAGCGATGGCATCGATTAACGATAAATCTGACTAGCGATACATTTAAACGCAAAAATTTTGCCTCAACTAGCGCTTAAAAACCCGACCAGCGCTATTCGTTCCGTACCATACGCGTCCACTTTGGCCTGAGCGCGCCTCACTTGTCCCTTGGGTGTCAGTGTTTACAAACCAGCCAGCCACCGCGGTCGCTTCCAAACATACAACAACTGGAACATTTCATATTATCACAGCCTTTGTAGTGATTGCACCTGCAAAATAAGTCACCATGGGCCCCAAGAAAGCTTCTAGTGCCAACCCTACAGCAAAAAGGGTGAGAATTACTATGGAGATGAAGAAAGAGATCATTGCTAAGTATGAAAGTGGAGTGCGTGTCTCTGAGCTGGTCAGGTTGTATAATAAACCCCAATCAACCATCGCTACTATTGTGGGTAAGAAAACGGCAATCAAGGAAGCTGTTCTTCCCAAAGGTGCAGCTGCTGCTGCACCACAGTCAGCTCTTGTTGTTGCTGCACCACCATCAGCTGTATTACTCGAAGATGTGGAGAGAGTGTTGTTGGTGTGGCTTAACGTGAAACAATTACCGAGAAACGATTAACCCCGGAGGGTTAGCCACCCAGGATAACCCAAGAAAGTCAGTGCATCATTGAGGACTGTCTAACTTATTTCCATTGGGGGTCCTTAATCTTGTCCCCCAGGATGCGACCCACAACAGTTGACTAACACCCAGGTGAACAGGAAAAAATGCCTGGAACTAGTGCTCATATTGGTGAGGTTAGTGGGGAGGATGTGGAAGAGTTGGTGGAGGAGGACAATGAAGAACAAACCACTGATGAGCTGCTAGATCATCTTCAACAGTAAGAGGCCACACCTGGGGAAACTGCTTCGGAGGAGGGGAGAGAGAAATTGAAGAAGTTGCCTACTTCAAAGATTAAGGAAATGTGTGCAATGTGGCTTAAAGTGCAAACCTTTTTTGATGAAAATCACCCTCACACAGCTATTGCAAGCCGTGCTGGTGACTATTACACTGACAATGTTGTGAAACACTTTAGGATAAAGGAACGAGAGGTACAGGCCTCTATGGACAGATATGTTGTGCGACAGAAGTCCAGTGACTCTGAAGCTGGTCCTAGTGGCATTAAAAGAACAAGGGAAGTAACCCCAGAAAAAGACTTGCTGTCTCAAGTGCTAATGGAAGGGGATTCCCCTTCTAAACACTAACAAGATCAACAGTCTCCCCTCCTCCCATCCCATCAATCATCACCAGATCTTCAATAAAGGTAAGTGTCATGTAACTGTGCATGTCTTCTTCAGTTTGTGTGTATTAAAATTAATATTTCATGTGGTAAAATTTTTTTTTTTTTTCAATACTTTGGGGTGTCTTGCATGGATTAATTTGATTTCCATTATTTCTTATGGGGAAAATTAACTTGACTAACGATTATTTTGATTAACGATGAGCTCTCAGGAACGGATTAATATCGCTGGTTGAGGGTCCACTGTACAAGTCTGTCTCAGAAATCTTAAAATGAACATTAAATATCTGTTGGTATTATACAGGAAAAGAATATCAGGTGATGCTGAGCGTCTCATGGTAATGGAGAGAGAGAAGCGCCTGAAAGCTGCTCTCAGCAAATTAGCTGGTATCCGAGCAGTTATCAGACGAAGCAGAAAAAAATCCAGCCTACCCACAGTGGCAGTTGTTGGCTACACCAATTCTGGTACACTAATAACATTTATTTCTACATTGTATACAGTAGTGTTTTGTGTTCTGTTGCAAGAAATTTTTATTGTCAGTTTTTATTTTGATAAATGTTATACACTTTATTTATATATTTTTTAGTCTTTCTACAGTACTTTTCTTTCTTATTCAACAGTGAAAGAGAATGAATAAGATTTCACTTTTATGATGACTTATCAAAATTTCACTTTTATGATGACCTAATTATCTTGGAAATTTCATCAATAATTGAGTAATAATTTTTTTCCATTGGTTATGGCTTCAGAGAACAGAAATTGCTACATTAACTGGCAAACAGTTACAGGCACACTATACTGTACCACATCATACACTGCCTTTTTACCTGATCCCCAGTTGAATGCAAAAGAAGTAATCTTATAAATCCCACACTAATGTTTCTGACCATACCTCATTTATTGATTTACTCTCTTCATGTCATCTGTTCTATACAAAATGCAGATACACCTGGCACTCCTGAAAAATGAGGGAATCTCTAGCCTGTGAGCATATGGGTCTCTTGAGTGGGTATATTTAAGGTACACTCATAGCCTAGCCTATGTTTTCATTTTAAAACAAATAGTAATTTTCTTGCATTGAGTGTGGCAGTGCCTCAGAAGTTCTCCCCTAATTGAATGATTTTTAACATTCACTATCAGTTAAGCATGATAAAGAATATCATGGTTTAAAGCCAAAGTGGAAGATAGTTACTGTACTTAACAGCTTAACCCTTAAACGGTCCAAACAAATCGACGATCAGATTCGTAGTGCTACAAAAGTAGATCTACTTTTTTTTACATATTTTCAAATGTAACAAAAAAAAATGTAGATAAAAGTTTTTTTTACATGTTTTCAAATGTAAAACAAAAAAGATCTACATTTTTTTTACATACTTTCAGATGTTGAGAAAATGTATATATACGTTTGGACCATTTAAGGGTTAAACAGTTTTTTTTTTTTTTTTTTTTTTTTTTTTTAACAAGTCGGCCGTCTCCCACCGAGGCAGGGTGACCCAAAAAGAAAGAAAATCCCCAAAAAGAAAATACTTTCAACATCATTCAACACTTTTGCCTCACTCACACATAATCACTGTTTTTGCAGAGGTGCTCAGAATACAACAGTTTAGAAGTATATATGTATAAAGAATACACAACATATCCCTCCAAATTGCCAATATCCCAAACCTCTCCTTTAAAGTGCAGGCATTGTACTTCCCATTTCCAGGACTCGAGTCCGGCTTTATAAAATAACTGGTTTCCCTGAATCCCTTCACTAAATATTACCCTGCTCACACTCCAACAGCTCGTCAGGTCCCAAATACCATTCGTCTCCATTCACTCCTATCTAACACGCTCATGCACGCTTGCTGGAAGTCCAAGCCCCTCTTCCACAAAACCTCGTTTACCCCCTCCCTCCAACCCTATCGAGGATGACCCCTACCCCGCCTTCCTTCCCCTACAGATTTATACACTCTCCATGTCATTCTACTTGGATCCATTCTCTCTAAATGACCAAACCACCTCAACAACCCCTCTTCAGCCCTCTGACTAATACTTTTATCAACTCCACACCTACTAATTTCCACGCCGAATTTTCTGCATAATATTTACACCACACATTGCCCTTAGACAGGACATCTCCACTGCCTCCAACTGCCTTCTCACTGCAGCATTTACAACCCAAGCTTCACACCCATATAAGTGTGTTGGTACCACTATACTTTCATACATTCCCTTCTTTGCCTCCATAACGTTCTTTTTCTCCACATATACCTTAATGCACCACTCACCTTTTTTCCCTCTTCAATTCTATGATTAACCTCATCCTTCATAAATCCATCCGCTGATACGTCAACTCCCAAATATCTGAAAACATTCACTTCTTCCATACTCCTCCTCCCCAATTTGATATCCAATTTTTCTTTATCTAAATCATTTGATACCCTTACTCTCTTCTATGTTCACTTTCAACTTTCTACCTTTACACACACTCCCAAATTCGTCCACTAACCTCTGCAATTTTTCTTTAGAATCACCCATAAGCACAGTATCATAATCAGAAAGTAACTGTGTCACTTCCCATTTTGTATTTGATTCCCTATAATTTAATCCCACCCCTCTCCCGAACACCCTAGCATTTACTTCTTTTACAACCCCATCTATAAATATAGTAAACAACCATGGTGACATTACACATCCCTGTCTAAGACCTACTTTTACCTCTCTTCTACACACCCTAATCTGAGCCTCACTGTCCTCATAAAAACTCTTTACAGTATTTAGTAACTTACCACCTATTCTATCTGCCACATTGCTCCTCTATCCACTCTGTCATATACCTTTTCTAAATCCATAAATGCAATAAAAACTTCCCTACCTTTATCTAAATACTGTTCACATACATATATGCTTCAATGTAAATACCTGATCTAAACATCCCCTATCCACTCTAAAACCTCCTTGCATCAGCAATCCTACATTCTGTCTTACCTCAAATTCTTTCAATAATAACCCTACCGTACACTTTTCCTGGTATGCTCGGTAAACTAATTCCTCTATAATTTTTACAGTCTCTTTTGTCCCTCTTCCCTTTATATAAAGGGACTGTACATGCTCTCTGCCAATCCTTAGGTACCTTCCCCTCTTTCATACATTTATTAAACAAAAATACCAACCACTCCAACACTATTTCTCCCCCTGCTTTTAACATTTCTGTCAAGATTCCATCAGTTCCAGCTGCTTTACCTCCTATTATTTTATGTAATGCCTCATGCACCTCCCCCACACTTACATCCTGCTCTTCTTCACTCCTAAAACATGGTATACCTCCCTGGCCATTGCATGAAATTACTGCCTCCCTTTCTTTGTCGACATTTAAAAGTTCCTCAAAGTATTCTCACCATCTACTCAATACCTCCATCTCCCCATCTACTAACTCTCCTACTCTGTTTTTAACTGACAAATCCTTTTGAAGTCTGCAAGGCTGTCAGCCTATCTTCTAATATTGTTTAAAAATTATAGTTTATTAGCCCTCTGAAAGTACCTGAAACTGGGTTTTTAATATATATGTATGTCTTTTCATACTACCATTATTCCATTTATCTGTCAGTTCATAAACAGCCATCATGCAGTAGGTTGTGTAGGCTCATGAGTGTTCATATTTGATTTTTTTTACAGTGGCTGCACTCTAAAGGAGGGGTGGGGATATTTACTGTTTGGAGGGTTATCTGGCAAGACAGTGATAGTATGAATAATGGCGAAAGTGTTTCTTTTTTGGGTCACCCTGCCTCTGTGAGAGATGGCCAGTGTGTTAAAAAAAATAATTTTGAGCACTGTTGCTTGCCAAATGAATTTGGCCAATATTTTTGCAGTGGTTGCAGTCTGCTGTAAATTCAGAAAAATGAAACTGAGTACTCATATATATGTATTCTATATTCTCAACTTTTATAGCAGGGATATTCAATTTATTGAACAGAAAGAAAAATTGAAAGATTAGTTAATTTTGAAGTTAAGTTGATAGATTTTATTTGTCTCATATTTGCCACAGGTAAAACCTCCTTAATCCATTCTATCACTGGGGATAGTCGTGCTGAGGGCAGAAATCAACTGTTTGCTACGCTAGATGTAACAGCTCATGGTGGCAGACTTCCATGTGGTCTTGAAGTTGCTTTCATAGATACTGTTGGCTTTATTCAAGATATTCCAACAGAACTGATAGCATCTTTTAAAGCAACACTGGAAGATGCTGTGTATGCAGTAAGTTTATTACAGCTATACTAGACATAACTTTTTATGGACAGGTACTGGAGTTCTTCATTGTAAATACAGTGGACCCTCGACCAATGGCGGCATCGACTAACGGCGCTCTTTGGCGTCAAAATATTGGCTCTACCAACGGCGAAAAACTCTTCTAAAGGCTTTCATCCCTAACATGTCTATGCGGCCTGAGCGGGCCCAGCAACTCCAAGACTCCATGTATAGCCAGTGTGCTATTGTTTACAAGCCGTTGCGGTCGATTCCACGTGTACCTGCGATATATTTTGTATTATTCCATTGTTTTAGTGCTTGTAATTGTTAAATAAGCCACCATGGGCCCCAAGAAACCTAGTGCCAACCTTGTGGTAAAAAGGGTAAGAAATACTATTGAAATACTATCGTACCACGGTCAGCTGCTGCTGCACCACCGCCAGGATAACCCAAGAAAGTCAGTGCGTCATCGAGGACTGTCTAACTTATTTCCATTGGGGTCCTCAATCTTGTCCCCAGGATGCAACCCACACCAGTCAACTAACACCCAGGTGAACAGAAAAAAATGCCTGAAACTAGGGCTCATATTGGTGAATTTAAGGCCAGCAAAGGTTGGTCTGAGAGATTTAAAAGTTGTAGTGGCATACACAGTGTGATCAGGCATGGCAAAGTTGAAAAATTCCAACCCCAACAAGTGTTTAATTGTGATAAAACAGGCCTGTTCTGGAAGAAAATGCCAAACAGGACCTAAATTACTCAGGAGGAATAGGCACTCCCAAGACACAAGCCTATGAAAGACAGGCTAACTCTCATATTTTGTTGTAATGCTAGTGGGGATTGCAAAGTAAAGCCTTTACTCATGTATCACTGTGAAAATCCCAGTGTGTTCAAGAAAAAGTCTCATTACTCAACAGCACTCTTCAATAAAGATAAGTGTCATTTTAGTATTTATTTATGTATGTATTGGGCATGTCTCATTGTTTTCTGTGTAGGGAAATGTGTATTTCATGTAGAAAAAATGAATGGGGAAAATTAATTCGACTAACGGCTGATTCGACCAGAGGCTAGCTTTCTGGAACGGATTAAAGCCATTGGTTGAGGGTCCACTGTATCTGAAATTAATAAAGTTTTAGAGTTTATCATTAATACACTTATTGCTCATTCATGATATTCTTACTTGGGAGGTAATAAATATTTCTATGCTTACACATCTATAGTACATCAAATTTCAAAGCTCGCTTACCTCTACTCTGATTTAACACACACTCACAGATGTGCATGCTTTATATTCACACATCTACCTCTCATTACTTATCAGAAGAGAAAATGATAAAAAAAATTTGTCACACCAGCCATATCCTACCATTGTAGGGTGACCCCAAAGAAAATGGAAGCACATTCACCATCAGCTGTCTTGCTTCAAGTGCAGACATCACAATTCGAAAGACCATCTTAACTTCAGCATCCCTACTCTTCCTTCAGACTGCAGTCACTGTAGGTTACACCTCCAGGACTCAAGTCTGGTTAATTGGATTTCTGGTAGATACCCAAGAAGCTAAATAATCATAGACTATGAAAAAAAATATACTTTTCAAGTGAGAAGTGGGATCAAGAAAACAGGGTAGATAGGAATCAAACCAAAACAGAGGATAAGAAGAGAGAAACAGCAACAAACACATTTTTAAAGATTTTGTATGGAGATATAAAAGGAGTAATCCCCAAAAAAGACCTGACATAGGGAATCTAACTGAAACTAAGTTAAAAAATATTTTTTTAATGAAGCAGCTTTTAAGGGTAAGTATTCAGTTTCAACAGGATATTGTACCATGAAAAAAGGCAGGAGGCTTAGCAGTTTTGGTGTAAAAATTACTAAAAGCCATAAAAATTAAAATCTAAAACACAAATAATGTCTGAATTCTAATATTAAAAATGCAACACTAAAGATGAAAAACAGCCCAATATTAAATAAAACATGGAAGATATAAGAATTTGACATGATAAATAAGGCTGAAGGATCAGTTATGGAATGAGAAGAGAGAATATAAATGTATAAATTCAGGTATTGTGGATTAAAATAAGGGTCAGATGCAAAAAGTGGGTCATAAGTGTATGCACCTAGAGAAGAGAGGAGTGTAGAGGAGAGACAGAGATTTTGGGAGATGTTAAGTGTGTGTGTAGGAACTTTTGAACCAAATGAGAGAGTAATTATGGTAGGGGACTTAGATGTTGAAGTAGGAGAAACATTTAAAGAAGGTGTGGTAGGTAAGTTTGGGGTGCCAGGTATAAATGATAATGGGGACCATTTGATTGAACTTTGTGCAAAAAGGGGTTTGGCTATAAATAATACTGTATATATTTTAAGAAAAAAAGGTTAAATAAGTATACAAGATATGATGTAGGGCGTAATGACAGAAGTTGGTTGGACTACGTATTGGTAGATAAAAGACTGTTGGGTAAACTTCAAGATTTACATGTTTATAGGGCCACAGATATATCAGATCACTTTTTTGTTGTAGCTACAATGAAAGTAAAAGGTACATGGGATACAAGGGAAATGGAAGCAGCAAGTAAGAGAGAGGTGAAGGTTTATAAGCTAAAGGAGATGGGCTAGTGAGAGTTAGGCAGTGGGGTTGAAGATTTATAGGGTAGGTTTAAGAATGTAGTGTTAGAGTGTTCAGCAGAAGTTTATGATTACAGGAAAGTGGGTGCAAGAGGGAAGAAGAGCAATTGGTGGAATGATGATGTAAAGAGAGTAGTAAGAGAGAAAAAGTTAGTATATGAGAGGTTTTTACAAAGTAGAAGTGATGCAAGGAGGGAGGAGTATATGGAGAGAAAAAGAGAGGTTAAGAGAGTGGTGAAGCAATGTAAAAAGAGCAAATGAGAGAGTGGGTGAGATGTTATCAACAAATTTTGTTGAAAATAAGAAAAAGTTTTGGAGTGAGATTAATAAGTTGAGGAAGCCTAGGGAACGAATGGATTTGATAGTTAAAAATAGGGGAGGAGAGTTATTAAATGGAGAGTTAGAGGTATTGGGATGATGGAGGGAATATTTTGAGGAATTGTTAAATGTTGATGAAGATAGGGAAGCTGTGATTTTGTGTATAGGGCAAGGAGGAATAACATCTTGTAGGAGTGAGGAAGAGCGAGTTGTGAGTGTGGGGGAAGTTCATGAGTCAGTGATTAGAATAAAAGGGGGTAAGGCAGCTGGGATTGATGGGATAAAGATAGAAATCTTAAAAGCAGGTGGGATATAGTTTTGGAGTGGTTGGCATTTTTATTTAATAAATGTACGGTTATTTTCATATAGTCGGACTTGAGTCCTGGAAATGGGAAGTACAATGCCTGCACTTTAAAGGAGGGATTTGGGATATATTGGCAGTTTGGAGGGATATGTTGTGTATCTTTATACGCATATGCTTCTAAACTGTTGTATTCTGAGCACCTCTGCAAAAACAGTGATTATATGTGAGTGTGGTGAAAGTGTTGAATGATGATGAAAGCATTTTCTTTTTGGGGATTTTCTTTCTTTTTTGGGATTTTCTTTCTTTTTTGGGTCACCCTGCCTCGGTGGGAGACGGCCGACTTGTTGGAATAAAAAATGGAGAAGGTACCTAGGGATTGGCAGAGAGCATGCATGCATAGTGCCTTTGTATAAAAGCAAAGGGGACAAAAGAGAGTGCAAAAATAATAGGGGAATAAATCTGTTGAGTATACCTGGTAAAGTGTATGGTAGAGTTATTATTGAAAGAATTAAGAGTAAGATGGAGAGTAGGATAGCAGATGAACAAGGCTTTAGGAAGGGTAGGGGGTGTGTAGATCAAGTGTTTACAGTGAAACATATAGGTGAACAGTATTTACATAAGGGTAAAGAGGTTTTTGTGGCATGTATGGATTCGGAAAAGGCATATGACAGGGTGGATAGGGGGGCAATGTGGCAGATGTTGCAAATGTATAGAATAGGAGGTAGATTATTGAAAGCAGTGAAGAGTTTTTATGAGGATAGTGGGGCTCAGGTTAGAGTATGTAGGAGAGAGGGAGATCATTTCTCAGTAAAAGTAGGCCTTAGACAAGGATGTGTGATGTCAACATGGTTGTTCAATATATTTATAGATGGGGTTGTAAGAGAAGTGAATGCTTGGGTGTTGGCAAGAGGTGTGGGGTTAAAAGATAAAGAATCTAACACAAAGTGGGAGATGTCACAGTTGCTCTTTGCTGATACACTGTGCTTTTGGGAGATTCTGAAGAGAAGTTGCAGAGGTTGGTGGATGAGTTTGGTAGGGTATGTAAAAGAAAAAAATTAAAAGGTGAAAATAGGAAAGAGTAAGGTGATAAGGATAAAAAAATTAGGTAACAAAAGATTGGATATCAGATTGGAGGGGGAGAGTATGGAGGAGGTGATTGTATTCATATATTTAGGAGTGGACGTGTCAGCAGATAGGTCTATGAAAGATGAGGTGAATCATAGAATTGACAAGGGGAAAAAGGTGAGTGGTGCACTGAGGAGTCTGGAGACAAAGAACTTTGTCCATGGAAGCAAAGAGGGGAATGTATGAGAGTATAGTTATAACAATGCTCTTGTATGGGTGTGAAGCATGATTGGTGAATGTTGCAACAAGGAGGAGGCTGGAGGCAGTGGAAATGTCGTGTCTGAGGGCAATGTGTGGTGTGAATATAATGCAGAGAATTCGTAGTTTGGGTTAGTTGGGTTATTGAGGCTGGGACTTTGGGTAGTTTCAAATTTAGGTTGGATAAGTACATGAGTGGGAGGGGTTGGATTTGAGTGGGACTTTCACATCAGAGCTTATTTCTTGGGTGGCATTGAAAATTGGGTTGGGCAAATGTTTTGTTAGTGGGATGAATTGTAAAGGACCTGCCTAGTATGGGCCAACAGGCCTCCTGCAGTGTTCCTCCTTTCTTATGTTCTTATGTTCTTAAATTAGGAGGAGGTGCGGGATTACCAAAACTATTATCCAGAGGGCTGAGTAGGTCACCATACTCCTTCACCTGTAATACACGACAATAGAATGGGGGTTCTGTTGTACTGTATTACTGGAAAAGAAGGCAAACTGTCATACAAGTGAAAAATGGTTCACATTGAGTTGATAATGAAAAGGAAGGCAGGGAAGAACCTTCATATAATCATGAAAAAAGTTGTAAGTGAGAACTATACACAACTCTTCAATAGTGAAATTATTTACTTCAGCAATTTTCTTGCAATAACCTGTGCACTGTACATATATTAAAAATATATCAATCACCCTTACTGCATGAAAGGTTCTAGAAATTTTAGTATGCTAATGCAGTTCCTAATTTTACAAAAATGTAAACTCAGATTTATATGAAACAACGCTAAGCTACAAATGAGTATATTTTCTGTGACAAGGTATACTTTAAGTTACACTGTATATGAATTATAATAAAGATGCTTGTAATAAGTATGAAAATCAGGTTAATGCTTTGTCTTCATCTTACTAAATTTGCTATTCTCATAGTATGATGTGTATGGCTTTCTAGTCTTCATGAAATAAAAGAAATATTTTTATTTTTTAGGATGTGATTGTGCATATACGTGATGCAAGTCATCCAGATTATGACTTACAAGGGGCTACAGTTAGCCAAACACTTGCCTCCCTTCCTTTCCCAGACAACACTCCCATCATCACAGCAGCTAACAAAATTGATCTGGGATTGGTAAAACCTAAAGAAGCATTTGGAGATGTGCATTTAGTCTCTGCACTGACTGGTCAAGGTGAGATTTAATTTTTTTTCATGGTATTTGCAGTTATTTTTGTATTTGACAATGGTTACTTTTTAAACTGCATATCACATATATGTACAGCTGCACGTACAACAATTTATTATGTAAAGTTAGTTTCATTATTTCTAGTTTATTTAAAATGCAATGTGATATGGTTTGGGGGATGACGCTCGTTTTGAATAAGGTACGGCAAAATTAATTCTATAAAAAATATCAGATTTTATCACAGCCCACTAATCATATTTACAAATGAGTAAATTAACACCATTCTAGAGAACAAAGGCAAGCATGATATTGAATTATTGAATGATGACTACTTTGAGGCCAAATCATTATAACATCGGTTTGACTGTGTTTAATGACTCCTTAGAGACATTGCTTTAATTTGTCATCATGGCTTCTTCCTTGCTGGGAAGTTCCTAAGAACAAAATAAAGCTATTCTGTAGAGATATGTATTACGAAGTCTACTTTCACTAGATGTATTTTGGTCGCTGCTCAATCAGAGAAATGTATCCCAGTATTTCATAAGCCCAGCCTCTACCTCAGTGAATGCTTAATGAATAGTGGAGAGTGGTCATAAAATTCCAGTGGAACAAAATATAAAAATAGGTATATGTGCGTGTATGCTTGCATACAGTGGAACCTCGGTTTTCATATGCCCTAGTTTGTATGTAAAACTATAATTATTCTCTATAAAATGTATTTTTTGTTAGTATTTCCCATAAGAAATAATGTAAATCCAATTAATCCATTCCAGACACCCAAAAATATTAACAAAAAATACATTTTGTAGAGAATAACTATAGTTTTACACACAAACTAGCACAAATGAAAACTGAGGTTCCACTATATATATTTTTAACACCTGGGTTTTAAAAAATTTTGATACCCAGGTATTAAAAATTCTTAAAACCTGGGTATTAAAATTTTTTAATAACCAGGTACTAAACATGCATAACATACATACACACATGTATACATATTTTTATATTTTGTTCCATTAGAATTTTATGACTACCCTGCACTGTTCCTTATGCATACATTGCATAGAGGAGGCTGGGCATATGAAATGTGAGGATACATTCCTCTGATCGTGCAGTGACCAAAACACATCTAGTTTATTCTTTGTTTTTCCTTAATACGCTAAGAAACTTTTATTCAGAATTACATTTATTATATCAACTTACTCTTGAATTACAAAGCTGTGTCTATATCAATTTTTATTGGTATTCCTTGACTGCTAATTTTTTTAATATTTAAAATTTTAGGCTTGAATGAGCTACTATTAACCATACAAACTGCAGTTTTGAGAGTGACTGGTCGACGTTCTTGGAAGTTCACACTGCCAACAGGCTCTTATCAAATACAGTAAGTAAGAAAGCTTGAAGCCAGCTTAGCTGTCTCATCTGAAATTAATAACACTAGCAACAAGCTCCAAGAAAATATAGTTCATTTAATAAGGGACAAGTATCTTCTGGAGAAAAACTTTCTGTAAAATACACCAGATGTTTAGAATAAAGGTTTGATATCTTTCTGGCCTGATTGAGAATTTGTGATTTAATTTTTAATACATCAGCCATGTCCCACTGAAATAGTGACCCAAAAAATAAGACACACCTCTGTCACTCACTCCATCACTGTATTGCCAGAGGCACACCAGTACTACAATTCAAAACTGCAAATATCCACACCCCTCCTTCAGTGTGCAGGCACTGTAGGCACTGTATTTCCCACCTCCAGGACTCGAGCCTGGCTAACCAGTTTCCTTGAAACCCTTCATAAATGTTACCTTGCTCACACTCCAACAGCATGTCAAGTCATGAAAACCACTTGCCTCCACTACTCCTAACACACCCACACATGTCTTCTCTCTGCTATAGATTTATATTCCCTCCAAGGCATTCTGTTTTGTTTCATTCTTTCTTAAATGTTCAACCCACCTCAACAACCCTCTGGATAATACTTTTAGAAATCTTCCACCCCTTCCTAGTCTCCAAGCTACAAATTCTCTATGTAATTTTATGCCACACATTGCCCTCAGACACATCTCCACTGCTTCTAGCCTCCTCCTCCTCCTTGCTATAAGATTCGCAACTCGTGTAAAGCATGGGTTGCGAATTCAAGAGTATACATTTCCCCTCTTGCCTCCATGGCTTCCTCCATACTCCCTCCTTCCAGTCTGATATCCACTTTTTCATTACCTAAAATTTTTGTTGTCCACATCACCTTGCTCTTTCCTGTGTTCACTTTTAATCTCCTTCTTTTACATAACCTCCCAAATTTGTCCACCAACCTTTGCAACTTCTCTTCAGAATCTCCCAAAACCACAATGTCATCATCAAAAAGCAACTGTGACAACTCCCACTCTGTTAGATTATTTTCCAATCTCGCACCTCTCCCCTACACCCCTGCCTTCACTTCTCATACAGCCCCATCTGTAAGTATATTAAACAACCATAGTGACATCATGCATCCCTGTCTACAGCCTACTTTTACCAGGATTGTTTTTATGAAAAATAAATATTATTCAGTACCCGACCAGCCAGGCTGTGGTTCATATGTTGGTTTGTGTGTGACTGGCAATAACAGCCTGGTTGATCAGGTCCTGATCCACTGTAAGGCCTGGTCATGGACTGGGCTGCAGGGGTATTGACCCCTGGAACACCCTCCAGGTATACACTAGGTACAATGTTTATCTTAAATATATGGCAGACTCCCGGGAATAAAAGGCGGCTTAAATTTACATTTAGTTTGTAATGAGCATTATTGGACCTGCAGTACTGTATCAGTGAAATGAAGAAGGGCTGTGACAGTATGAATATAAGTCAGTTTTTTAGTTCAGTAACCCTACTGCACTGGGAGACAGTTGTTTAAAATATATATTTTTCTTCTTTTAACAAACTGGCCGTATCCCACCAAGGCAGGGTGGCCCAAAAGGAAAAAGGAAAGTTTTTCCTTTTAAATTTAGTAATATGTACAGAAGAAGGGGTTATTAATCCCCTTGCTCCCAGCATTTTAGTCACCTCTTATGACACGCATGGATTACAGAGGAAGAATTCTGTTCTAATTCCCCATGGAGATAGGAAATAAACAAGAGCTAGTAAGAAAATAGAAGAAAACCCAGAGGGGTGTGTGTGCATATGTATTTTTTTTTTGTCAACAAACCAGCCACATCCCACTAAGGCAGGGTGGCCCAAAAAGAAAAACGAAAGTTTTTCTTTTTAAATTTAGTAATTTGTACAGGAGAAGGGGTTACTAGCTCCTTGCTCCTGGCATTTTACTCGCCTCTTACAACACGCATGGCTTATGGAGGAAGAATTCTGTTCCACTTCCCCATGGAAGTAACAGGAAATGAACAAGAACAAGAATTAGTAAGAAAATAGAAGAAAACCCAGAGCGGTGGGAGACGGCCAACTTGTTGAAAAAAAAAAAATATATAGTATATGCTTGTACATGTATGTGTAGTGTGACCTAAGTGTAAGTAGAAGACGCAAGATGTACCTGAAATCTTGCATGTTTATGAGACTGAGAAAAGACACCAGGAATCCTACCATCATGTAAAACAAGTACTACAGGCTTCCATTTTATACTTACTCGGCAGGACGGTAGTACCTCCCTGGGCGGTTGCTGTCTACCAACCTACTACCTAGAAAAATATAATTTATTCTAAAAATAATGTATGATAAGAGTTTACCCATATTTCATAACTAAGATAATAGTACCTGTAGATACTTTTAAAGCTATTGATTTTGTGTCCTCTGAAAAACTCAAGAGAATTTTGTTTAGTGAAATTATGAAAGCAAGATTTTGGTGTATTTTTTCAGGTGGTTGCGAAATGCTGCTGGTTTAGCTTACGAGGAGATAGATGCAGATAATCCCCAGACTACACATGTCATCGTTGTTTTAACGGACCAGGAACTGGCTGCATTTCAAAGAAATTTTGAAAAATAACTGTATATAATAACACTTTATTATTATCAAATTAAAGTGGTTGTCTGTTCCATTTTTTTTTTTTATTGTAAACAATTTTATTCCCATTTGTGATGACCCGATGTACTCAGTAGGCTTTAAACCCTATTAACCAATCAATTATTATTCACAGCACAGGTGGGGCTTGAACCCTTGGCAGCTGAGGCCTAAAACTTATAAGCCACTGCACTAACCACTCAGCCAGCTGGCTGTAATAAGATTCATCTTACTAGGTATATTTATATACACCATAGAAAGGTTAACACTATGACCACAAATGCAGGTTTTTACAAATGAATCACACACCATCATGACTGGCTTGCTCTAGCTCAAGTCCCCTCGAAGTTGCCGTCACGAAGCTCATGCTAATCTCCGTTTGGTGTATAGAAATATACCATGTTGAATGAATCTTATTAAGAGCTAGGTAGACAAGTGGTTAGTGCACTGACCTGAGTTTTAGAACACACCTGTCATGGATTTGAACCCCACTTACGCTGTGATTTGCAATTGTTATGATTGCACGCCTCTTCAAGGGGGGCTCCTTGGCGTGGTGAAGAGGCTCTTGGTCTGAGGAATTAGACCTGTCAGTCTTCTTCCTCAGACCGAACCTAATTACCCCCCAATCTCCCCTCCCCTATCCCATCCTCCTCATCCTCTCCTTTTTCCTTTACTCCTCCTCCTCCCCACCCCTCCCTTTTGCCCTTCCTCTTTTTGGCCTTTGGGATTTCTCCCACAGGCGCGCTAGTTCCTAGGTAGGGGAAAGGATACCGGGGTCCATCCCATTCCGTTGAGGTTCTTGGCGGTGGCGTAGTTTGCCGTGGAATCTGGATCGCCTGGGGATGTCCCGATCCCTCTCCGGTATCCCGGAGTAGCTTTGGGTGTCTTTCAGGCGATGGGTGTATCTCTGGAAGCCACCTTTCGGATTCCGGGGGTGGTGGCCGAAGGAGGTATGCTTTGTGGCGGATGTCCGGCCGGCCTCTCTTTTGTCCACCGAGGTAGCTCGGCAGATGTGAGGTTGCTATCCCGGATTGTTAGTTTACTAGCATGATGGGTAGGGTATGGCACGGGTTCCATGCTGCATCTGCGCTACTTGCGGTGCTGAGGTCCTCTTGGGCGCGGAGGGAGATTTCTGGCCCTTTCATTCCTCCTAGGAACTATCCCTCCCCGGTCCCCCTTTTTTTTATTTTTTTTTTTTATTTTTATTTTCTTTTCTTCTTTCCTTTTTTTTTTCTTAAAAACAAAAAAAGAAAGAAGTAACCTAACCATGGCAGCCCTAGTCCATGAACTACTACCCCGGGCCCCTTCTTGATACCGCACCCCGTTCTGACCCCGCCTCGTCTTTGGACCACTCTTCAGACACTCCTAATGCCTCTGTACCTCTTGCCGGTGCTGTTTTCTCACCCGCTTCAGGTACTGAGGCCTCGACTGACTCCTTCGATTTATCGGACCTTCGCTCTCCTCTGACTATGCTTCCGGCCTCTCCCTCTACGGTGCGGCAATTTTCAAATCGCCGACCCGTTCCACGTCAGACCAACTCTGGTCCCACGCCTAAACGACAACGACAATTACCTGCTGATGATACTTCTCCACCTCGTTCTTCTCAGAAACGATCGACACGTCCTTCACTACCTTTCCACGCTCAGTTTCAGACTGAACAATGGACTAAATTCTTCACTTTACGACCGACTTCCTCTACTGCCTATCTTTCTGACCACAGTATTGGCAAGGCACTCCTAAGAGCGGTACGTGCATCATCACCGTACAGAATGCTACCCAGGCTCATGAGCTCTCTCGTCTTAACCATATCGATACTGTTCCTGTCACTCTTGAAAAACATCATTCCCTCAATTCTTGTAGTGGGTACCGTCATTCTGCCCCATACTATAGTTCAACAAAATTTCCAGACATGTGGCACTGACATTCTTGAACAGCTGGAACTCCAAGATCTCCCAATCCTCAAGGTAGACACTTATGTTCTTCCTGCCCGTGGGCGGAGACGATACCCTAGCAATGTGGCTCGTTTAACTTTTGACAGCCGAGAACTCCCATCCTCAGTTTATATAGCAGGACATCGGTTACAAGTTCGAAAGGTGATCCCTACACCACAACAGTGTAGAAATTGCTGGCGATTTGGCCATCCAGCGAAATATTGCAGATCTATCGCCGAATGCCCAGTCGGGTGGGTTGCCGTTTACCTTTTCAAATACATAGTCTTCCCAATCGTCCCCTTTTGGCCTTAATGCATGAGGCTCACCCTTCGAAACCCTCGCCTTTGTCGGGGTCTATTTAAACGAGGGGGAAAATTCCGTTCCTCAAAGAGACAGAAGGTCTCCCTTTTTGCCATGGCAGTTTTTTTAAACCCGCCCCCAAGGGAGACCCCCCACGTTTTTCTTTTTTCCCGTTTTTCAAAAGTCCCCCCACTTTTTGGTATCCATTTTCTACCCCCACCTCTGTGGTTACCTCCCCCTTTAATCACCCTGTATCTAATCCTTTTGCGGGTTCCTCGGCCCCAGAGTCCCTATTTCAACGCCCCCGGTCTAATCTCGCTTCTTCGAGTTCTCTCTCACAACCCTCAGTATCGACGAGACCTCGTACAAAACCTCTCCAAAATCGCCCCCTCAAAAAAAAATTTAAAATTTTTCAAAAGTCAAAAAAAGGTCCTTTAAACCCTCCTACCCATCCCCCACCTCCTCTTTTTAACCCTCCTTTCTCGTCCCTGGTTCTTCCCCTTAAACTGGTCATTTTACAAGTTTTAAAATTTTTAAACCCTCCTCCCGTATTTTACCTTCCCCCCCCTGCCCCCCTCCCGGTTTTCTTCTTTTCCCTGCCACCTTCCCAGGTTCCTGCCTCTTCTGTCCTGCCACCTTCCCCAGTTCCCTCCCCCCTTTTCCCCCCCCCCCCCCTACCTTGGGTACAGTCCAATACAGTTCAAATTCTTTACTCACCTCCCCCTCCCATTCCCAATTTTTGTCCCCCATACGACATCTCTAAATTCCGAAAAAATTTTTGAAGCAATCTTGAATATATTCAGAGACCAAACCATCAAGGACACTGATCCCCCTTTTTCCGCCCCTTTCTCTCCCCTTTCTGCCCCTTTCTGCGCAATTTCCTTTTTCACACGCACCTTCCCTTCGCTGCTTGAATTTTTCCCCCACTGCCTCCGCATGGGGATTTTTTCAACCCTTTACCCGTGGGAAACCCCTTTAAAATTTCGGATTTCAAGTATTTTTTATCATTCCCAAAATCATCCCCTTTTTTACAGGGGGAATATACGGGGCCTCAGGGAAATCGGGGTGAGCTTCAGATTTTACTCTCCCATTTTCCCCCTTTTTGGGGGTTTGTTACAAAAACCAAAATTAACCCCCCTCCCCTGTTTTTTCTCCATCTAGGCTATAATTTTTTGTATTTTTTCCGGATCCTTTTCCTGATGGGCCCTTTTTAATGAAAGGGGCCCTCTTCCCCGCCCTGATTTTCCAAACCCAAACAGTTTATTTTTTTCTACTTCGCTGCATTACACGGGCCAGCCCGTACCCACTTACTAGGGGGTATACGCTTTGTTCTTTAACCCCTCTCCTTTTTGGGCATTCTTTTTCCCGGTTTTTCCCTTCCTTTTTTCGTCATTACCGCCCCCGATTTTTTTTTACTTGGTGTTTTTAAATGCCCACCTTTTCCCTTTTGGGGGGGGGGGCCCTCACTGTGTTTCCCCGTGGAATTCATTTAAAGAGGCTTTTTTTTTTGAAAACCCACCCCCTCCTTTTTTTAAAAAATACAGGTACTAAACCCCCATTTTGCCCCTGGGACTCATACTCTCCTTGCATCGATCTCTCAGTCTGCTCTTCCTCCGCCGCATTAGTTTTTCATTTGGGTCTGTTCTCCCGGATTTACATGACAGTGATCTTTTTCCCCAATCATTCTTATTCCCCTTCTTATTCCCCCCTTTTTCGCCCCCCCAGTGGCAATTTAATGGGGAAAATTGGGAAACCCTTTTTACTCACACCAAACGTTTTAAAAAGGGAGGTTCCTTTTTTCGTCCTCTTGATGAGTTTTACACCTTTTTTTTTCTCCCCCCCTTTTTTCCCCCGCACCTTCTCATTCTATACCCCAAAACTTCGGGCAGGCATTCTCAAAATGCGTGCCTTGGTGGTCTCCTGTTTTGGTGCCGTGCAGTACGTTTGAAACGCGCTGCATGGGGAAAGGTAACCTTTACAATAAACCCAAAACAGAGCGACTCCCTTTGTTTTTTAAACAGAAGCTTTCCGTTTCCCCTCCCCGTTTTCATCCGTGATGTAAACGCACTTGCGGCGTTTTTATGTCTCCACCATCACCTCTGCTTCCTCTATGGGGCCCAGTCTGGGGGTTTTTGCCGGAGTTGATACCCAAACCCCACAAAGATGTTCCCAAATTTGAAATTGGAAATCATTGGCCCTATTTTCAGGGACTCCATCTATGCCCCTCATTTCTTTCCTAAAAATCTCCCAGAGAGTTAGCCCCCTTGGGGATTTTTCCCTTTTTCCAGAGAAGAACATATAATGTCCCTTTTAAAATTTCAAGAACTGGAGGCAACACTCTCAGTTTTGTCGATCATCGGCAGCGGGGCCCGTCCCGGACATTCATTTCGTAGGGCCCCAACATTTACATTAGCCCACCCCTTGCAGTCCTTTTACCCTTTTAAACAATCTTTTTTTGGTCAAAAGGAGTTCTTCCCAGCGTAGAAATCCGCCTTGTTCCCCCTTTTCCGAAAACCCGGCAAAAACGGACATGAAACCCCCAAATATCGCCCCCATTGGGTCTTACCAGTGCAGTTTTTCAAAGTTAAAGGAACGCCTAGTAAATAAAACGTTTAGTGTGGTATTTTTTTGAACACACAACAGTTTTCTCCACTCGTCAATATGGCTTTTTGTAAGGGACTTCTACCATAGACCCCTTACTACCTTGGTTACGAAAGTTCTTAAAGCCCTTTGGGGGAATTTAAACCCCCAGTTTGCCCTATTTTTTTTACCTTGAGAAGGGATAAGACACAACTTGGAGGGATAA